AAGCTCAACTCATGGTATCACCCAGCCACTCTATCATTGGTACTCTTTCCCTTGTATATATATGCAGTTACTATATATCATACGCAATACAAACTATTCTGTTTCCTTTAGTATATAACTAAGTAGTTATATAACATACGCACCATTTCAGCCCTTTGGTATTTCCCACCTGTATATCTGGTTCATAAAATGACGCTACGTACATATTATCGGTCTTCTCCACAGTTTTATATACATCTGAAATTCTAATCTTTTCATATTACATTGCTTCGGCTTTCTTCAATGTTCTAACCATATAAGCAATGATATCACATGCGAACATATACTTTTCTGTTCATCATGCCTACCATATTGATTCCACCAATATCATTTTCATCTAGTTTCCAAGTAAATCAATGTTTGTTGTCTTTTGAAAAGTTCTTGCTACACAGATATCTTCGAAAATATCGCCTTCTTGGTCTATGGACTTTGAAATAATGATTACTCCTCCTAATTTCTACTATCTCATTTGATCAATGTTCAAAACGTGATTCCCAAGCTCCAAACTCAATGTGTATTACATTCGTCTATGGCTTTTTGGACCTCCTTCTACATTATGGACTTCTCACATTTGGATAAGCTCTTCTTAGCAACCACGTTTTAGTGTAGCAATGAGTGTACTTATCATACGACGCTAACCTCATTTTCCCAAACGTTTTCATATATCCGTTTTCTTCTGAATTTAATTTGATAATTTCTTCAACCATCAAGCCTTTGAACAGTTGGCTGAAAGCTCTCTTCCTCATGTCACGCTCGCTCAGCCTGTTGCCTGTCTATATGACTCACTAAGTTGCTCACGAACTGCCAGCGCAGATTATGATTCTTCCCTTCTGCTACACAGATCGATCGACCACTATAAATGCCGACTCATGATTGCTCGCTTTCATAAGCTCAGCACTCCCATGGAGCCCTTACTCAGCAGATCGTTGCCCGAGTACAACGCAAGCTTCTTCCATGATTTCTGTTTGTTGGTTTTCTTCATTGGTCTTTCAATTCCTTAGGGTTTTCTTCTGCTAAGTTTCTGAGGAGTAAAACTAATCACCATCTTGCGTCAGCTTCTCACCCATCCAAACTATGCTTTTTACAAATTTTACAAGGTATAGAGTTTTCTGTTTTACGTGTTGCTTAAAACGTTAACGTTTAAGCAGTCTTGTCTTTGACAAGGAATTCTCACAAGAGCAAGTTGGACGATCAATCCCTTTCGGTGACCGTCTCCAGCATCGACCGCTGCATTCCACGTCTTCTCCCCTCTCCTCTTACTTGTCTATCGAGACCACAAGTTTCTCTACACTCAATCTCAGCTAATTCTAATCCATTCCTCGCTCCACCACTCACATTATCTATCTAAGCCCACCGTATCGTCGATTATATTGGCCGTTTAGTTGCAATTTATGCTCTTTCCTCCTTCTTGTTTACCACCAACCATCATCACCCACTGCAGACAGCCTATATTGTCCTTTCACTACATCTTCCGCATAATAATTGATTGTGGGTTTGTGCTCGAATTTGAGTTTGGTATGAGCCTGACATTGTCAGGCTTCACTCTCCTCTTGTACTATAGAACAGCTTGTATTATATTATAGCTGCTTTCTACGAGATCACTAATCATTGATAATCACCAACTCACAAGAGGATGGATGATTGATGATGACGGATCGATTCCGAGGGAGTTGGCCGTCGGTGGCCCAGGTGGATCCCGCGTGAGTTCAAAAAGTTCCGAGCACATTGGAGGTCGAGTAAGTGACGGAACAGACACTTATGTAGGATCGTAGCATTGTGTCGC